AAGTTGAATTCCATCTAGTTGAAACATTTAGATATAATAAACTTTTGGAATCAATCTTTTCAATCTCTATGCATTCCTTAAGTTTTCTCAACCTAGTAGGAGATTGTCTAATATACCTTACGAGTTGCTCGAACATGAAGGATCGAAGGATTTGCATTTTTTAACCCATCGAAACAATAAGATTCAAAATATGAGCCATACACCTCATATGAAGTAATTCCCCATCTAAGATTTTATGACCCTAATTATTAAAAAAATCTCTCAAATATTTAATCCCCACATCATTTGAACTTACATTGTCTATAGTAACGGTGAAAACCTTTTCAATTTTCTAATCAATCAAACATTTTTCAATAGCACTATCCAAATCAATACCATTGTGACCATCAACCGGATAAAAATTTAGAATCTTTTTATGCAACTTTCAATCATTGTCAATAAAATGAGCTATTAGACACATAAAATTAATTTTTTGAATAGAAGTCCATGTGTTCGTAGTGAGATAAACTCTTTGACAATTATTTTTCAAAAATTGCTTCAACTTTAATTTCTCATACATATAAAGTTGATAATAGTCTTTTGAAATGATAATCCATGATGAAATTTTAAACCTAGGTTGTGCAATTAGCATAAACCACTTAAACCCCATATTCTCTAGGAATTTGAAAGGAAGTTCATCCACAACAATCATGTAAGCTAAAGCATTTCTAATGCAATTTTGATTAAACTTTCATGTGATAAGAATGTTTTCTCCCTCTTGAACACTTGAATTAAATTGAAGGTTCAATTCTGGTTGGGTAGGCTCAAGCATATGTAGGTGTTTTTTGCATATGGCCATATGAGATTTAAGTGTAGTAGTACCATTTCTAGTAGGATAAGTAACAAGTACCTTATCATAATAATTATATCTCCCTTTGATGTCTTTATTTTCATCTTCAAACTTTGTGAAGTGGTCTCATACAACTTACTTTGGCCTCATTACTATTCTTTTCATATTTGTGTTCAATTACGTGTTTGATGGAGAGTCGACAACAATTGTATCTACTTGTTGGGCTCGATTCTCGATAGGTTGAACTCGTAACTTCAGCATCGATATCTAAGGATCCCAACATCTATATAAATTCAATAATATATTTGATTAGAACATATTATTAAATACAAGTCTATAGTATTAAAAGTTAACATAGTAGGTAGTGTCCACTAGCTAATGGCCACGGCCGACCACTACTCATTAGCTAGCTACGGGCCGGTAGGCCTACTAGCCTGTACCGACAGGCTAGTGGCCGATGGCTCGCCGTAGGCCGATGAGGCCTACCGACATGTGCCTACAAGCCGGTGGCCACTAACTGCTCGCTAGTCGGGTAGCCTAAGCTCTTACCGGCTATTGCAACATAAATTACACAATTCACAATTGTTTCAACTCCTACTAGCTACTAGCTCAAGTTTCAACCAATTAACCATAAGTCCATACCAATTAACACTTAACGAACAAAGATAATGTATTAGTAATATATAGAGCGAGAGAGAGAATGAGAGTATGGTTACTTACTTCAAGAGTGCGAGTAAATCGGGATTATCGAAGAGGAGGTTCGATTTTCCTCATCGCGATTTGCGATTTGGAATTGAGAATTTGAGGGTGATTTCAAGTTTGGAGTTTGGACTTGGCTCTTCGAATTTTTGGTGTGGCCGTGTGGTGTGAGGGAGATTTTAGGTTTAGGTAAGGCTATAAGTGAGGCTATGATTGTGAGGGGCGAGGGTTGACCAACCGAGGCTATGAGAGGCCGAGAGTGAGGTGAGGTTGTGAAGGTGTCTGCAGAGGTCCGGACGAGACCTGGAGAGGACCGAGGAGTGAGGAGGACCGAGGAAGTAGGAACAAGCAACTACTAAGTAAGGAACCGAGGTCTACTCAATGAGGAGAGGCCAAGAGGAAGTAAGGAAGAGTGGAAGACGAAGAGGAACACTCGATTTTAATTTTTAGGTTTGTGATTTCACCGATTCTTGAATTTAGAATTAAAAAAGGAAAGTAGTGAAACGACGCCGTTTCACTCATGAATTTAAAAAAAAAATTAATAATTTGGTTAATTATTTTTTAAAAAAAAACCCAAAACCAAAATAAAAAACTCGTTATATATCAATTCATTTTTTAAAAAAATTCAAAAAAAAATAGCATCAAAATTGATATTTTGGTACAGTTCGGTTTGGTTTTTCGGTTTTCATCGAATAGTGAACACTCCTACTTGGCATTTTGTTTTGTTCATCGTTTTGTTTGTATTTTTATAATAAAAAAATAAAAAATAGAAATAAATAAAATAGGAGCAAAAATTGGGTGTTAACATGAGATATGATCATTTGCTCATGTATCGGTTATCCAAGTACAAAAATTAAATGAGAGCATAACACTTTTTGAATGAAAACAAATGACATGATAGAACTATTACTTGTAAGACTGGAAATGGGTTGAGAATTGGATGCGGTAGAAGGATAAACATGATTGAAAGGTTGTGAGAAAGAAGTTTGTGAATCTTGAACACTTAAAAGATTCATGAATCTAGAAACTTGATCTTGAGTGAATAGAACACTTGAAAGTATGGTATGTATAGGCTAAACAAAATTTTGAACAAATATAGAACTAAATTTCTCTTAATTTGAAGTGACATTAATGATATAACGTGAAGAATTTTCATGACTAGAACTAGAAGAATCTTCATTACTATTAAAACCCTTATACTTACCGAATTTGAAATATGCACAAAAATCAATAAGCCTATATCATTTATCCTTACTACGTCCAAGCTTCTCGTAATAAGAATAAGTGATGTCAATTTTCTTTTTAAAATCATCCATGGTAACACACTCATTAAAAGGCTAATTTATATCCAAAATAGACTTTCATGACTCTTCTCTTATAGCTAAATTATAAACCTCATCTAGACTAGGAAATAGTTTCATAACTAGAACCCGAGATTTTAAGGAAGAAAACGACTAATTCAATCTATTAAGAAACTTAAACACATATTCTTTCTCATATGTTTCCATAATTTTTTTTTGAAAACAACCATTATTGTATCTTCTTTAACTACAATGAGGCGGGGCTCGAAGTTTTTCAATTCTTTCCATACTCCTTTAAATTCAGCAGAGTAAGCATTAATAGATCTTGTAGCTTGAGTACTTGAGCATAGAAACAATTAAAAATTGCAAACTCTTGACTCATATGGTTATGAAAACCTTTTCTTCAATATTGCCCAAATCTTTAGAACTAAGTTCGTATAGAACATTCTTTGCAACGAATAAGAGGTGACATTCATCTTAATAAACAAGCAACAATCGGACCATTACAACAATTCTATAAACTAAAAAGAGAATCATCTTTCTTAGGCTCGGAGATGGAACCATCAATAAACCTTAGTTTGTTGCGAATTGAGAGAGTAAGAATAAAAGATGCTGCTCCAAGTAGTATAGTTCTTTATAGCTAGTTCTAGGGTAACTATAAGAGACCTATAGTGATCTAAGTGATGAATGAAGCAAGGAGAGTGAAGATCATCAAAAGCTAAAACTTCTTCAATGATGGATGAATAACAAGAGGATTGAGAGAAGAAAAAAATTAAAGAACGTAAGTGAAACCCTAAGAGATTTCGATCTTTGATACCATGTTAACTTTTGTGGTTGGTAAAAGAGATGAAAGAAGAGAAATTTGCATGAAAATTACTTCATTTGTTAATGTAACATTTACGGAAAATGATAATCGCCACACTATTTATATAAGATAAAGTGCTAAACCAAACCATATTAAGTTAGCTAACTAGCTAACTAACTAACCAATGCACACCAAAGAGCTTGTAGCCTAATGGTAGTGGTCTCCGACAACAAGAGATCACGAGTTTAAATCTTAACGGATTAGTTCTATTAAGAACCTTGAGTGTGTGAGTTAAACAAAAAACTAACTAACCAATACACCTAACTAATCCACTTTATTCACAAGCTAGCTCATAACTAACTAGTAACTTCACATGCCATGTAATACAATTTCCATAACGCTATTTATATTCGATATTGATATTTAAAATTTTTACTTATTTGGATAGTATATAGTGTATAAATACTATCAAACTCAACTCGAAATACATATATTAGTATTATATACATATATATGTACAATATTTATAGTTTTTCAATGGTTACTTGAAATTTTTTTTATAGATATCCTTTGTCATTATTATAAATAATAGATATATAGTGTAATTCTTTCAATCTATCAATCTAAATTTTGCAATGTGATTTTATAATTCTTAACATCTTTATGCATTTATTTACTGATCGTAATTATCTTACAAATCCAATGATTAACAATTTTAGTGTTATCAATTGTAATATCATTATGAATCATAAAAAAGAAAAAAGTTTTTATGAATGCACCTTAAACATTAATGAATTGTGTATGATTATATTAGAAACAAACCCCGTATTAATACCTTGATTGTTAAGAAAACAGAACAAAGAAAAGGATAATTGGTCATGGACTTTTGAATCAAGAGTCAAGTCCATCAAATACATTTAAATGTAGTATAAATCAATATAGTAACATCACGAGAGTTTGATATAAAATCACTAATTATAGAGTTTTAAAATAAGAATCTATCCATGAAATTTAATTGGAGATAAATGTTTGATGATGGTGAGACCAATCTCTCGTAGTGGGTAATAAGGGTGCTGCACCTAGGCCCATTGATTTATAAACCATGGATTAATGAAAAAAAAAAAAAAAAACTGATGCTAGGGAATTAAACTTTGTTTGTAAATTCAGAAATTTGATGTGGCATCTTTAGGGTGCTCAAGATAAGTTTGACAGGTAGCCTCAAAACTCGGTGACGTTAGAGTCAGCTACAGTCAACGCAGCGACCACCGTACTAATTGACAGGACCAGATTACCCATGATTTACAAGAAACTTTGAATCCTTGAAGTCTGGTAATGATATAATAGTAGTGGCACTTCCGCTAATAAAATGAAGTATAAGGGTTTTCTTTAATATTATTGGCCTCAACGTTTTTCTATTCGGTGGTCCAAATATCAAGGCAGTGACGTTTGTACACACTAATAATTGGACCAAATGTAACTATGTCCGTACGTTGCTGGTTTTCCGTACGAAAAATTATAAAAAACTTCAAAAGGCCAAAAAGGGTTGTCAAATGTCAATTCAGATTTATATATTAACAACAAAATAAGTTAGCGTCCATAATTATATTTATTAATTTGTAATCTTTTCTCATGTGTATATTGTTTTGATTTTCACAATTTATGTCTAAATTACTGATGGTATTATTGTATTTTTTTGAAGCAATTGTTATGAAATTTTAACAAATATTATAAATTAATTCCTGATTTTTACTAAAATTTTTATTTCAGTTTTATCTTCATTTATATCATCGTATGGTTTCTAAATGTTAAGAAAATTAATAAGGAAAAAAGAAAAGAGAGAATGTGAGGGCGAATCTCATACAGTCATTTTAACTAGAGATCTTACTTTTCATTTATTCATTTTAGAGAAAAGAATTTATTTATAGTGATTCTAAATTATGAAATAATCAAAAAAAGAAGATCAATTATTCAAAATATTCGCTTGAGTTTTTAAATTTAATTTGAATTTGTGAGTAAAAATATTTTTTTGAGTTTTTTTAGTAATATTAAAATTAAGAAGTAAAAATTTTAAAAATTGATTATTATGTGTGAAGTCTATTTATGGAGATCAAGCATGTATGGTTTAAAAACAAAAAAATCTTTTAAAGAAAAAAATCCACGTGTTTTATTTAATTTTTTTTATATATAATCAAAATCATCGATATCAAATTTATAGGTGTGTTTTATTGAAAATTGACTATGTATATACATACAAAACTATTATAATTTACTTAAAAAAATTTAGATACTTTGAAATCAATTTCATTCAAATAAAATAATTTAAATTTGCATTTAAGAAAAATCCGACGGTACCATAATTTTCAAATAGAGTCTTTTTGATACAATCTTATTTTAAAAAAAAAAAAACTAAATTTACACACACACGCGCGCACACACACGATATATATATATATATATATATATATATATATATATATATATATATATATATATATATATATATATATATGATTTTCGATTTTGAAACTTTCATTTTAAATTATTACAAATTTTTATTCATGAATCCATACATAAAAAAATCATGTTTTTTTTAAAGAAGAAAGTGGATTAAAAATTATAAAAAAGAATTAATTAAATATAAAATTTTTATTTAAAAAAGTATGAGTTAGGTTTAAAAAATTTATTTTAGTGAAGCTGCAATATAACGATAACCATCAAATTAATAATTTTTTCAAATAAATTTACATGTTCTCTCCCATTTACAATATAATAAAGACAATCAACTAGTATATTTCTAAAATGAAATTGAGGATATCGAATGCTGTTCAATTTTGGGAGTTGGAGCTGGGACTCTCAACTATGAGCTAACCTTTACAGCTATCAATAAGGGTTTTTATTGTTTCATTTATATCACATAGTAGCAATATAATTATTATTTTTTCCCTTTTAATATCATGTTGATGTTATGCTAGCTTCAATAATTCAAAATTATATATGAGATAATAACTTGTTCAACAAATACCGTATTTGTAAAAATGACTCAATTGTAAAGAGAAATTAATTATTATTTAATTATTTAATTTATTTATTTATTATTTTTTTGTGAATACTTAAATACTCGTCAATTGGATGTGATATAAACAAATATTTTGCTTATAAGATGAAATTAAATCCATATAATAAATGATTGATGTCACGAAAAGTAAGTTGCATATCTCATAGACTCGTAAAAAGGTAAAAATTCTTTAAATATCATATGAATTTGAGTAGTATCACGATTTAAAAGATGTAATTAAAAAGATTTTTAGTCGTTTTAGGGAGGGAAAATTATAATAAAGATTTTGAAAGGTGGCTGCATTTTACAGTTTGACAAAGTAAAATGAGATGATTGATCATATGAGTAGCCTCAGGCTCAAAGGAGAGAATGAATATATAAATATATAGTTGATTATGTATAGATTAAGTGATTTAGCTTATGTGTTATATATATATATTAACTTTCAGTTTCAACGTTATAACTAGATTAGAGGATGGGTTCTGATTGATCATCTCATGATTGATTTCAATTATTGACATAGTTTAGAATTAGGGATTCACTTTTTGAGAAATTTTATAATATTCAATGGGTTTCTCATCATTGTTATAGTTGGTAGGTCTAGATATAATTTTTTTTTTTTTGTGTTTATTTTTTTTATAGAATAAATTTATGGAGTAATTACCGTACATGTTACTTGGTTGGAGTTTTTTTCTAGATCAATACACTCTTAAATTTTTATTCATTGACTAGAGTACTTTTAAACTTGTTTATAAAATAAAGGAATTTTTTTTGCCACATAAGATTTTTTATCCGCATCATTTTTTCTTAATTCTTAACAAATAATTTCATTATATTAAATAGTTTTATCTTTATTTTAAGTATTTCATTAATTAAAAAACATAAAAATGCTAAGACCTTTCTTTTTAAAGGAAAAAATAAAAAAGTTTTTATCTTTTTAGGTTTAAGGGCTGTGGCTAGCCAAATTGTGGCTGGCAGCCCCAAAACCCTGTTATTTCATCTTCTTTATTCCTCTAAATTTCTTTTTAGATCTAATTTTTTTTTACCATTCTCTCTCTCTCTCGTTCCTTTTTTTTTCCTTCTCTTTGTGTTCATTTTTATAGATTATTCTTTTTTTTCAACTTGAAAAAGATTATTGATTTGAAACCAACATGAGCTGGTATTGAATATAACGAGGGTGGATTTGTTGGGTGACCAAATTTTGCATATTGAATTGCATTTGGGTTTTTTTTTTTTTGCTTTTCGGTTTAACAATTGAAATCTAGACATTAACTACTGGTTGCAATTCCATTATTAATTGCTCCTTTGCATTGATGGACATCGCACTTCAAGTTAAATGTGGAAAAGAAAATGATCATTTTGGTTAAATACTGAAATGGTTCAAGGTTCCCTGTTGGGAAAGCTGAACTTTGCTCTTATATGATTTAAAACTATACCGTGCTCGTATAAAAACAGACTAACCTTATCAGAGGAAATGGATAGCAATTGTATGTATATATAGTTTTGAACGGTTAAATCAAGTGGATATATTTTTGGTCAGATTGTTGTGACTTGTTTACAGATAAAAAAGATAGAGAGAGATAAGAAAAGAAGAAGAAGAAGACAATAAAAAAGATAGGGAGAGATAAGAAAAGAATAAGAAGAAGAAGAACAAACTAATACAAAGAGAAAATAGTAAAAAATAAGAGATTAATGTGTGATAATAAAACATTTATTTAGTAAAATGATTTTTTTAAAAAAGTTAACATATCAAGTTACACAAATGAGATGGTTCTTATATTGCATAAAGTACTTTATTTTGATAAATAAGTTTAAAATTATCATATTATGTAAATAAGATTTAAATTAGCCTTATTATAAAAATAAAAATAAAAACTCTCACTAGTTGCTCTTTAGAGTTTTTTTATCTAAATAAATACATTTTTAAATCTTTATTCCTTAAACAGAGTATTTTTAAACTTAATTTTTAAATAAAAATTCTTTTTTGCCGCATTTTTTTTTATCTACGTCATTTTTTTCTCAATTGTTGAAAAAAGAAAGAAAGAAAAACCCACATAGATCCCAATTAAATGCTGATCCAAACACGAGGCCCATATGATTTGCATCTAGATCTCCTCTCGACCGTGAGATCACCCTATATTTGATTGTTGCAGGTAGATGAAGCAGTAATTAAGTTTGATAAGCATGGTCCTCCGGTTGCTAAGCAAGGCATGAGCTAAGCACGCTTTTTTATCGAAATTGCGTCAGAAAAGGCGAATGTGCTTGCAAATGAACTTCAAGTTGGAGGACCACGTGTGTTGTTCATTATGTAGCTACAGAGTCTAAGCATTTATTCCTCAGTGAATCTGTGAAGGTGTGGGTTAAACTCGACCAGTATCCTTCCATCCACAGAGTTGGAGAGTTGGCTGTTCCTGCAGCTACGAATTTGTCACAGAAGTACAACCATTTTGTTTGTCAAGGATATGAACCAGAGGGGTTATGCAGTGTTTGGATACCTGCTTGTGGTTCCAATTGATGAGATCTCGCAGGCATTCAAGCAAGGTGACGCAGAAAAGAAAGAAGATGCAACTGTACATAAAGATTCAGATTCATCAGACTCTGATTAAAATAGTTGCACTTAGTGTAAGGGCATCCTTAGCCTAGTAGTATGGTGGGTGAAAATATGATAGGGTTTGTGGGTGTGTGTTGAAATGTGAACTGCTTGCCAATATGTAAATGAACTCAGTTGACCCCTTTTTTCATATCAATGGATGTGAATGTTTTGTAATTCTACTTTGTTTTTTTTTTTTTTTCTTTCCCTCTAGATTTTAATAGTGGATTAAATAAGATTCAAGCCTGCATTAAGATATGCTCTCTTTTATCTAGAACCCTCTAGCCTAATGGATTGGCTGATTGGACCCTGTCATTAAGATATGCAATTAAGAAGGCTAGGACACACTGCTTTTTAAGCAGTCTATTTATCTTTCGGGAGATATGGTTCTTGTACTGGCCAAAAACCTTATATTTGCTACTTCTTCATGGGATGGTATGCTTATTGAGTACATTTTACTTTGCATTGTACAAGGAGGATAAAGATCCTGAGGGTTTCAAGTTAACATTGCTTCCATTCTCAATAGAGAATTCATGGTTCCCTGCGGCTTCTATTCTCAAAATATCCTGTTCTATCATGAAGATGTATGCAATAGAGCAAGTTTGTATAGCCTTGTGAGATGTTTGCATGTTATATTTATGATAGATTTTCTCTACAGCCCGATGAACATGCCTATAAACATCTCAGAAATCGTCTTCATGGTTTGAAATCTAAATATAATTTAAAAAAGGTTTACAAGGAGCAATTGCAACTGTATTCTTATTATCTTCCTTGCACTCCAAATTCTGATAAATTACTCTTGTCGATGCCATCCTCACTGAGGAAACATAGCAAGGTAGCAAGAATATCTAGGATGAGGTATAGGAAAAATACGAAAACCTTTCCCTGACCCAGTTGCGGAACAATTGAGGGAATTTATTAGTGAAAAAAGAGTGTCATGCCAAGCAAGCAAGAAGATTAGGAGTAATCACATGAGCATTCAATTCCAGTAGCAAGAGTTACATAGACAATTATTAAAACTCACAAACAAGTCTGGAATATCCAAGGTATTACAAAACCAGTCGACACTCGTATAGTCAACAAAACCCATGACTGTCGAGGAGGGGGAAAAAAAGAGCTTAAGCATAATGGAAACTGAGGTTTCTGCATCAATGGGACAAAATTAATGAGTATTGATCGCATAATAAGCAAAAAGATTGGCAATAGCTTTCTATTAGACTCAAATAAAAAATGCTTCTCCATATCACATGTGGTGATGATAAATTAGGTTTCACGTTGATAAACAGTGTAATGACCCAGAAGATGAAGCTTTGGATGAAGTGGCATCATACATAATTAGAAGAACAGAAAAATAATTTTGATTTTCTAAGCAAAATAAGGAATGATGAATGACACTATACACTATGTACATTTTCCAATCAACTACTAAATCAGGCTTCAAAGTTCCAAAACATATCGTGGTGAGTTCTCGAAGTTGTATGCTGGGGTGCTAGGAATAGAATCTGCAAATGAAAATGGACTCTTTCCCGTGTTATAGCCAGGGGTGCTTGGAACAGAATCTGCAAATTCTAGATTTCAATTCTGAGTTTAAAATTAGTTTAATTATTTGTGAAATAATATTTTAGTTTCAATTAGAGTTTTCTTAGTATATTAAGACAAAAAAAAAAAAAAAATTACTGAAATGGAGCTTACATGGCATACAGTATACTAGATTGGAAAATAAATTTACAACAACCCTATTTTAGTAACATAGACTTAAAACAACCCTATTAAAAAAAAAAAAACTCTTGCTCTTTGAGTATTATAATCATTGCCAAAAAATACGCCAGAAAGGCAGGCATTTTATCTGGACAGGGTACTTAGAGAAGCCAGCAAGTCTGATTGTTTGGTGGGCTGTTTTTGTGGGCTAGGCTCAAAATAGTAGGGCGTCAGTCTGTTTTGTTTGTTTTTGGTCCACATTTTGATACAGACCTTTTTGCCTTACCGTATTGGGCCTCCTAAGCAGGATAGATTAAGAAATACGTTCTTCACCTTTGAGAATTATTGTGAAACTAGGCTACGAGAACCTGATCTACACTGTACAAAAGTAGTTAAAGGTGCTAAACATTCCAACAAAAAGATCTCACACACAAATCGAATTCCTGAATTTCTGCTTCCGTTTGAAGACCAACGGCAGATGCACATGAATTCCTTGAAGGCATTCTAGGTTCAGTTGGAGAAATTGTTTGAAATCGCACATCGTTGGAGAAACTTTTGTATATAGTCAGTTTCATCATCAACCCACTTCGCATAGTGAATTCGACATAATTTCTACACCAGCCCAACCAAATACATCCATTGACTTGGATCATGTAAAAGGGTAGTCATAATTCATCAACTATGACACTGAGATTAGTTAGACAACCGTATCGAGTTTCCTGTTAAAGCTTTCCATCAATTTCAGTTGTAGCTTGTGACATAGCAAAAGGATCTACACATTTAATTGGAGAACCAAAGACACTGCAAGGATTAGGCCAGACAATCCATTAAGAGGCTCAAATTCCACACACGAACTCCCCCTTGAGCCTAAAGGACACAAAAAATGGGAATGAGACAGGTTTGGGCCTCTACCCAGCAAGAAACTACAAAATATAACAATTAGTTTCTGTTGACATTGGGGCCACAGCTACTGCTACGAGGAGACGCCAAATTGGAAGCAGTTTCTGCATTGCTGGAAATGCCAAGGCACAAGGCTTCAGCTAATGGTCCACCAGGTGGTGAACCCATCCATGAACCACCATGACTCATCATCCACTGAGGTCTCAAGCTACTCAAACTTTGATGATCTGTGTCTGATGATCCCATGATCCCAAAACTACCCAGTTGAGCACTTCCATTTCCTTCGTTATTAGTTTCATTTCCACCACCAGATGACATTGACAATGTAAGAGCTGAATGTGGCAGTACTAACTTCTCACTTGAAGCAACATAACTTTTTTTACCAGTCCCACCAACGTCGTCTCTACCTGAATTAGTTGACCAAGCATCAATGAAGTGCCTTGTCTCTTGTGCTTGTGTCTGGGTAGGATTTAAAGTCTTTTCCAAAGTAGTTGATTTGAGACTTGATAACATGCTGCAATGATCATTTAGCCTCTGAGCTTGCAATGAATGGCCAACTCTGTATGTATTTGAGCTAACCTGATGCTCTTCTCTATGAAAGTTGTACGCTGTGTCATTACCCTTGATGCTGTCTCTCTTCAAATGCTGCCATTCTTGGCTGGAATTAGCAACAGGTAAAGTCTCACCTTTCAAGACCCATTCCAAGCTCCTTCATGGGTTAAACACAAATCATCAGTTATTTATTATATATTGCACGCAAGAGACAAAAGACAACTGCTTCATTTTCATGAGTCATGAATAATGGAAGAGAACAAGGGGTATATGAAAGTAAACTTTGTCAGGCAACATAAAAGTGATTTGTTCAGTGCATGGTCCTAATATCCAGAACTATTTATTAGAGTATTAAAGATCACAACCCTCACCTGGACTGATCATATGAGGTGACAGAAGAGGCCATGACACTAGGAAACGTAAATAAATGGCTTGGAAAGTAGGGTTTTTGATTAAACAAGTGTGGATTAGTGGAGTAATTGCTGGTGGTGGGGGCAGTGGTGTTGTTGGTCATGGTCCTCAGGGAGTCATTAGTATGTAATTCCACAGGCTTTCTTGAACGGGGACGGCTCTTATGAGAGTGCCTCTCACAGTACTTCTGGTCAGGCGCCACATCTCTTGAACACCTCCATTTTTTCCCATCAGTTCTTTTGCATCTCCATGGCTCTGGATCTGATGAGCTCAAGCTAGGAATCCCCAGTTCTAGCGAACCTGTTAACACTAATAAACATGTAAAATAAATAAGCATTTTAGGCTAACATAATGCAGAAAGATGTGAACTTGACAAAAAGACTGTTGATGATATTACTGTTTGATTGTGGAGGAAAGACATTTGATTGTGTTTTGGTGATGGGCATAAGGAGTTCAGGAGGGACAGGAACAGATGCCATCATGTACTTGTAAATCGTGGTTTGTCTTTCAAGTTCTTGCCACTGAGCAGCTGTAAAAAGCACTCTCTCATTCACAGATGGAGTCATTTCTCCTGTATATGTAGTCAATAGTCAACACACATGGACACACACAGACACAAGAAATAAATTCAATTACGTTCTTCCCTGTATCTTTAGATCAAGGAAACACAAAGTGAAATTTAAAAACGAAGAGACTTTACCTGAGGAAGTGAAGGTAAAAAGAGAAGAATCAGAGGTGAAGTAGGGGTACTGCAATGACTTCGACACTGCTATTGCATCAGTAATCGCAGTCCCAGTAGCAGATACAGAGGCTACAACATCGTTTATATCACCAAAACAAGCAACATGGTTGCTTGTGCCATAAAACATTGGCCCACAGCCTCCGCCACCACCACTACTACTACAAGAAGAAGATGATAACTCATGAGCTGCTGGTTCATGATGGCAAGACATCACCATCACCGATCTCTTACTACTACAAGATTCCTTATTATCTTGCATCCTTAAACCCAACCCAACATCATTCACAAAAACCCCACTACTAGTTCTACTCCTATTACTTCTCATAATATATATATATTATTATCAAGAAAAGAAAACAAAAGGGCCAAATGCTTTTTCACTATTAGACCGAAAATAAAAACAAAGTCAGTCTTAGAACTCACGCCAGCTAGTGCAAGTGTGCAAAACTCTCTCTTTCTCTCCGTTCGTTAGCTTGGATTTGCAAGTGTTGTTGATAAAGTTGTGGTGGAGCGGTGCCGCCATTTTTAGCCATGAGTTTTTGCTTTGCTTCCTTGGCTTCCAACATTAGTACTTCTTTTGGATTAAAGACAAAAATCCCCTTCTCTCTATGTGTCACTACTGACACATATATTCTAACATACTTAGCACGCAGTCTAACGTTTTCTTCGCGTTAAGTTCAACGGTTGAAGTCGAGCCCAGTTGTTTTATACATCACTACGTCACGGCAGATTACAATTAGATATCGATTTTTTTCAATTAGGTATTTTCGGATTTTTTTATTAGAGGTACCAATTTAGGAGGCAAAAGAAAAAAAGTAAAATAAAAACTAAGCTGAAATGAAAAGCGTAAAAAATTAAAATTAAAAACACACAAAATAATACTATGTCAATCTAACGATGCAAAATAAGAAAGATTAAACAGAAAAAAAAAAGCATATAAGAGGGAATATATCTATTGTCAAATCTAACAATAGAGAGTGAGAAAGATTAGACATAAAAAAAAAAAAAAGAATGGTGTACAAAAAAGAGCAGAACAATATGTTTCAGTAATAGTTTACAATTGAGAAATTTTATAATACATAAGGAGTAATTAGTGACATATACGGTAGTTATTCTTTGGATCCACTTTGAAGAGGAGATAGACACACAAAAAGAAAAAAAAATAGGAGAGAGAAAATAAAAAAATTTGAGCTGATGTGGAAATCTTCTTATCATTTTTAGTGGATATAGATATAATTTCTCTCTTTTTTTATATGTCTATCTCTCTCTTCAAAGTAGATCCAATGAGTAATTACTCGTACATATCACTAGTTACTCTTTGAGTATTATAAAATTTTTCGTTTACAATTAATCGAATTTATGTAAACAATAATATAATCATTAATGTTTTTTAGTTTTTTTTTTTTTAATAATGTTAGAATTGGTACTCTAAACCGTTTAGCTAAAAACACAAATTAAAAAAATTGATGAAAGTTTCACACATGTTCTATATTTAAAATACCAAATGCCATTAAATTTAACAATTCCAAAAACATAGTTTAAGAGTTGAGTTTTTTTTTTAGCCTTTTTTCACAAAATAAAAATAAAAATTATATACACCATTTTGTTTATTTAAATGGAGATTTCGACTTTCTTTAAAATATTATCCAGGAAACCGTATAAACAAGTTCAATAACTTTGTTATTTTATTCTTTATCAATGTTTGTTTTCTCATAAAAATTAGGGAAAAGATTGGTTGACAACAAGTTGTTATAAATAGAGTTTGACATCATGATGTGGAAGTCTTCATGGTAAAGTGAGTGCGTTAAGTTTTTCCATTGGCTGTGTGGTGCATAAACATGTTTTGACTAGGTGGTGTCTCTTTCCGTTAAACACGGCGTTAGCTAGTCGTGTTCATTGGGAGTCGTAATACAGAGGGGGTCCACTTGGGTTTCGTGGGGGGACCGAAGGGAATTTGATGTGATGCAATAACTAAATGATAACGGGGTCCACTTTTGAGTTCTTGAGTTAAGTCCCATTAAATGTTTCTATTTCTATGTTTAGAATCCTAGAAATCCAATTTGGACCCACTATTTAATAAATTAACTTAATTTAGCGCATATTATTCGTAGTAATTTTCCTAGAATTTGTGTTATCATCTTATTTAATTAGCTAAGTTGAATTTTCTGTTAGATGGGTCTTTTAATTGGATGCATTTTTATCTACTTGATATTGATTGGTTGAGTGTTTTTTTTTTTTTTTTTTCAATCCAATAGTATATTTTATTCAAGAATCTAATTGGGGTGGAGCCCATTCTTGATTGGTTACAAAGATAGTAAAGTTTTCAATTTTAACGTGTTAATACAAAAGTTGGTTTCTTAGGGTTAAGGCAATTTATTGATTACCACATCCTTGCCTTAAAATATGGGTAATGTTTTGATTTTGAACTTAAAACTTAGGAATGACTAGAAAAGAGATGCTCAGTACCTAAAAACAATATAAAAAGGTCCAAAAATCAGATTTAACGTTAGAAACTTCTGATTGTTGTACTTGGCCAAACACTCGATTTCCGGAGACTCTCTCTTGAATTTATAACATCGATTACATACAGTTTGCCTTACATCTCCTAAAGCCTAATTACTAGTCTAGTAAGGTGCAAGGGATTTTCTAGAGGTAATTTTTTGCCCAAAAAAAAAAAAAAAAACTCAAACTAAAATATACAGAATAGAATGAATATATGAATAGTGGTAGTTAGATTAATTCGACAATACACTTTTATAGCACATAATAATAATAATAATAATAATAAATCTTTTTGGAAATTTCTTCTGATATTTCAGTGAATTTAACTTCTTGTTCTTAAAAAAAAAAAAAAGTTATTGTTATTAGTATTATTGTTTTTTTGTCAAATTTCAATTCTCCAAGTAATAACTTTCCCCGTGTTTCAAAAAATTAAAATAAAAAGGCCATGCATCCTGAACTACTTTCATTATTCCATTTACCAGGATGGTGAATATGATCCAGGGGTTCCATTCCCAAAATTTGTTCTTCCACTGGACCAAAAAGCAAAAGAAGAACAGATAAAGAACTTTATCTATATTTGAAAGTTTTTGCGTGGGAATAATTACCTATTGTTGTTTGAGTCCATAATAAGAACTCATTGAACAATTATCTCGTTTTTCTTTAAACTAGCAAAAACAAAGTTAATGTTTGGTAATAAAAAATGAAATAGTAAGAATAAAAATAAAAATTTTATTTGCATTTTGTAGATGTTTAAATGAAAATAAAAAATAATTTTATTCTCATAAAAAAAATAAAAAATAAAAAATAAGAAATGAAAATAAATTATTTTTTCTCTTCAAAATAGTGATATATTATTTTTATTTATTATGTAGCGACTATTTTTATCATATCACTATCTTTATCATTAACACTGCTTGCTATTGTCATCATGGTGATAATTTTAGTTTTAAATTTTATTCTATTTTTTTATTCTTATTCAACATTATAAACACAATAGTTAGATGTAAATGTGAATTTAATTTTTTTTATTTTTATTCCAAAATTTTCATTCGAGTTAACCAGATGAACTCAAAGATTTCAAAGAGTCCTTTAATTAATTAATTTCTTTTTAATAAACACAAAATGCAATATTGATAACTATGGGCTTTAAAGGCTTGGTGACCCGAGCCCTTGTTTTAAATTATCCATGATTCATCCATGGGCCTTATGTATCTAGCTAAGAGAGAATTCCTGCGAAATCCTCCATTCCAGGCTCCAAATAAAAAGATTTGGTGAGTCTAAGGTTTATTGTTTTCACTAACTTCTTCGGTTTAAATTTTGTGGTAAACAACCAAGGAAAATTATTCGAGAAATTTTATATTATAAAAGAAGTAATTATTAATACTTATTTATCCGAGTAAAAGATATACATAAAGAGATTAAAAAAAAAAAAGAGAGAGAGAAACAAATTTGAGCATAAATAATTTTTTTTTATCATTTTTAATGGACGTAGATGTGACCCTTTTAGTGCCTCATGAAATAATTATTGTAAGTGTATGATAATTATTTCTGTAGCATTTTAAAATTTCTTATTAAGATGCATAAAAAAACAAGTAAGATACATCTTTAAGATTATCTTGAAAAGAAATTTAGTTTAAATAAATTAACTTTACAAATACATCTTATAATGAAAAAAAAAAAAAAAGCCATATTTACCAGGTTCTTACAAAAGGCTACGTTTTTATCCTAAATTTGTTCTAAGAAAAAAAAACTTAATTAAAAAAATTTCCGTTTTTCAAAGAATAGATAAAAATATAAAATATGTATTTTATTTAATATTTAACAAATATTTAAAATAGGTGTTCTTAGAGTGTCTACTAACCACGTACCTCGGATCTCAAAACAATATTTCTCGTAACAATGGTCAGTTTTATCAATGAGAATTGTTTTTTTAAAAAAAAGAAGAAGAAGTCTATAGTCTACCCTTCAACTTCTGTATACAGTCTTCCATATATGTATTTATATTATCTTTTGTAGAGCCTGTAGGATTCTACTTTTTCCCCGTTTGAACCGCAGACGATGAAGATTATGAAGTGCACATCGACCAAAACTCAAACTGCCACCCGCTAAACGAAACGATAGCTAAATATTTTTTTAAACTTGAGCCACTAATGGTAAATTATTGAAATTTAGGCACTTGCTAATTCAAACCAAATCCCTCCAGGTTTTTTTCCAATACATGTCAAATGTCAAATCTAGTTGACAATAGAACGTGATGCCTTTTATTTTCCTCCATTCCCATTATCTTCCAAAAGATCTTTCCACTTTTTAAATCCTGTCGATCTCCACTGTTTGCATTAAAAGACAAGCATGTGCACTGTGCAGATCGATAAGATGCCTTCATAAAATAAAAGATAAGCCCCTTTGAGAGGCTTGGGCAGATCATGTATACAGGAATAAATATTGTACGCTTGTCCAGATCCAAAGCAACCCTTTTCCAATTTCATGACCTTAAATGTTTTTAGACACACAAGTAAAACTCACGTATACAATATCAATACTAATCACACTCTCTCAACACTAACAAGCCCAAAAGAACAGATTAAGAGAGCACAAAAATTAATCAGGCACAAAAAAAAAAAGAAGTGAAAAATAATTAATCATGACATAATAAGATTGTTGGATCTGATGGGGCATTTTTGTTTCAATAGAATCCTTAGCTGTGCCTTCTGACACTCCAGCTTTGTACCCCAATGCCTGTTTTTGGACCCTATTGCTCGAATCACTCTTGGGAATTCAACAAACCCTTTGATCCCTCTCTTTATGTGAGGATTCTCAGGCTCTGGCGATGCTCTACTTCTCTGAATTACCATTGATGAAATGCTACATTTGTTGTCATTAAATGATGACTTTTCACTCAGGATCACCCTTGTTGATTCTTTTGAATCAGCACCACTGTTGTCATGACAGGATTTTTCACTCAAAACTAACCTGTTTAACTTGCCTGACAAAATAGATATAGCCTTGAAAGGAGTTGCAATTTCAGGTTCTTTATCTTCTTGATTCTTCCGTTCCATCCTGGAAGTTGAATTCTGATGAAGTTCTGTAGTCCGTGCAGTTGTTCCTACAAATTCTAACAGCTTCTCTTCAAAGAGCATTTTCGCCTCGGCGAGCTTCATTTGAACTCTTTCTTCTCTTAAAACCTCAGCCATTCTTAGCATCTTTCTTTCCTCTTCCATTTCTCTCCTCATGTGATCAATCTCCTCTTTATCAGAAGAAATTTCTCTAGCAAGCTCTTCACAGACTCTCTCGAGTGCTTCTCTTCCTCCTCTCTCTTCAGCCAATTCCTTAGCCAATCTTTTACTCATAGTCTCCAACTTCTTACGTGCCTTACGTTCATACTCAAGCTCAGCTTTCAATTCCAGGATCTGGGCTCGAGCGAAATCTAGCTCAGTATCCATGATAGGTCTAAAGAAAGTGAGATCCCAGAAAGAAGCTGCGATCTTACGAGCTGAATGAGGTAGGTGTAGGTGATGAAGATGTTTGTTACTTTGACAATGTTGTTGGTGTTGATGTTGGATAGTATGTTGTGAATTATAAAATGGATTCTCGTACAATTTCCAGCTTGTGCAAGTGGTGTTGGTGATGGGGTCTTGAGGATTGGATTCATTCACGGAATCGTCTAGGCTGCTGCTCATCATCATCACCTTCACTTCTTCCATATGTCTTCTTCTTTGCTTTCTAGATGAGCCCTTTATTTTTCTTGGTAGCTTTTTCCTCCTTTCTGCTTTGCTTTCCTTTTTTCTAATGGGGATTTGCCCCGTCAAGAAAGCAATTGGGGTAGGCCCATTTATCCTTCATTGAACTTGCTTTGAAGATGTGGATTGTAAAAGGGAAAGGGACATCACATGCACCTCATCTTAATCATAACTAGCTATACTAGAGGTGGTCTTGGCTCTAAATCATGGTTTGATGATCAGATGTGTCTATTACTTTCCATACACATATATACCACAATAAATTTGTCATGTTTTGTTTACACCTTCCAACCCGTCAATCTGATAGAACGATAGAGTGATAAACAAGTACTGTAGACCCCATTCTGTAAAATTGAAGAATGACGCATCTTGCTTTCAGAGTAAATATGGTTTTGGTTTACTAAAAATTGCCAAATCAAAAACTATATTTGGGGTCGATTTGGTGTTTAGTCTCCTTAATTGAAACATGATTTGTGATGGGTGAAAGTATCAAGGGTGATGCTTTTTCAGTTTTCACCCTACTAGAGTAAAAATTGACCTACTGATAGAATTTGCATTGGATTTGTTTAGTGGCTTAATAAATGAATATGCAGAGTGGGAAGTTCAACAAACTTTAGATTATTCTAAGGACTCTCTCTTATCATAATGTCACAAAGCAAGTGCACAACTTACATTAAAAAAGGAAAAAGTGTTTAGGCATAAAGTTATTGCATGATAAGCTCTATATCAATGTGACAATCTCTGATTGACCAGAACTGTTTAGTCTAATGAATGTTTTGGTCTAGTAACCAGCCAGCTAAGCTCCACATGTTGTCTGAGATCAGGGGCCCTCTCCAGCTGGAGCATTTAACCTTCTGGAGCTGGGCTTTTGGTGTCCTAATCGAATGTACGAATACACAGAACCAAAAGTTAGCAATTAGCAGAATGTCACAAGTTTAAGACTTAAATGTCTCATTTAAACCTGTCTATAAATAAATACTTACGAATGCTGTTGCACAACTTCCACATCTTCGTGGCTATATCCTGTTCATCCATTCTGTGAACTCTATCATGATGAATGGATAGGATGCGTCCTCGTGATTATGGTTTCTGTAACGATTTCATAAGAAAACATTTGTAAATTCTAGAAAAGTCACACCTTTTAAGTCTAATCAATTTTCAAATATTAAGATAAGGGCTGTGATCTAAGGATCTAAAGCGCCATGAGAGTTGAGACCCATTTATTTATTCCACAGTCCCACATGTATTTTCGGTGATGCATAAGAATCTTCAACTCTTAAATGAAGGCCTAATGTGCTGAATAAAAAAACAAAAATATTTGATAACATCACGGCGATAGATATCATTTTTAAAACTAAAAAAATTTTAAGAGTAAATTTAAAAAGTGAAAAAGTGAAATAATATAATACCTATTGAAAATTTTATATTAAGGTTTTATAATTTTAAATAGCAAAATTTGAAATTCAAATTTTAACAATAATTTATTTATAATATCTATGTTAGTGGCTTTGTTAATTGTGCATCATTGATTAGTTTGTGATGGGACTTGTAATGAATTATATTTAATTTTGAAAAATGTGAACTGATTTGCTTTTTTTTTTTTTTTAGCATGTTGAAAAAGGTTTGTTCAATGTTCTAAAAAGTCTCGAATTAGTTGGAGTTAAATAACCTATTTAGATTTTAACTTTGCACCATATTAAATTACAAAAGCATCCGTTGTCAACTACTAAGTTCAAATAACCATTTTTAAGGATAAAAACATAATTTCAAGGCTTTCTCGTTGCATTCCCAATAGATAATTATAATGACCATTTGTCTACCCATGAAGAGAAGGTTTTCTCATTGCATTCCTGTTCAATTGTTCATCCCTTCCCTTCTCTTTGTTTTTTTTTCCTTTGTTATCTCCGGAGCATTCTTCTTTCAAAAATGGCTAGAAATAAAGCGTATGTAGTATTTAGGGGTAGAGCTCTTGGGGTTTATCTTTCAAGAGAAGATTGTGAAGCACAAATGATTGGTTTCCTTGGAGCTTTATATCGGGGTTTCAAAAATCATTTCGAAGCTAAGGAATCTTATGTGAGATTCTTTTATAGTGATCATCCATACGGATTTGTAGCTCATATGTCGACACTTCAACAACAAGTTCATGGAACTCTAGAAACTTATGAAAATGTGGCATCCAATACGAATTTAGGCCTTAATAAATAAATACATATGAGGATAGAGGAAATCAATCTGCCATCATCACTCGTGTCGATCTAGTAATTATGGATGATGTTTTTTTGCTTTTTAATTGGTGTGTATATGAGGTATTCATGGAGATGAGAATCTATTAATTTGTAATTTTTGTTTTGAGATAATAAGAATCTGTTACTTTTGTAAATTTGGATTTCAATATATGAAAATTGACAATGTATCGATGTACTCGTAACTAAAAATTGTTTATAGTGTTTTCGAATGCTAGTTAATGTGCTTGAAAAGTCAAAATCCTTTGTTTTCAAGTTACAAAAACCCATCCTTTTGTTTTCAAAATGCTAATAAGTGTGCTTGAAAAGTTGGTATCCGTCATTTTCAATCTGCATTATCAAATGATAGTGATTCAATTGCATTATTAAATGACGAGTTTGTTAGTATACATCAATTTATTTTGTTGGATTCTTAAAGAAATGTTAAGTCTTTCGATCGATACTAACATTATTTTCGGAATGCTAGTTAGTATGCTAAAAAATCTAAGTTTTTCATTTTTCAAGTTACGGAAAACCAAAGTGGTGTTTTCGTAACGCTAGTTAGTGTGTTGAAAAGTCAAAATCCTTTGTTTTAAATTTAGAAAAGTCCAAAGTACTTGTTTTCGGCATGGAAATAAGTGTATCGAAAATTTGGTATCCTTAGTTTTTCATGTTACGGAAAACCAAAGTAGTATTTTCGAACGCTAGTTAGTGTCTTGAAAAGTCAAAATCCTTTATTTTCAAGTTAGAAAAGTCCAAAGTACTTTTTTCAAAATGCTAATAAGTGTGCTTGAAAAGTTGTTATCCTTTGTTTTCAAGTTATAGAAAACAAAGTGGTGTTTTCGAACGCTAGTTAGTATGTTCGAAAAGTTAAAATCTTTCCTTTTCAAGTTAGAAAAATCCAAAGTACTCGTTTTCGAATGCTAATAAGTGTACTTGAAAAGTTGTTATCCTTTATTTTCAAGTTACGGAAAATAAAGTGGTGTTTTCGAACGCTAGTTAGTGTCTTGAAAAGTCAAAATCCTTCATTTTCAAGTTAGAAAAATCCAAAGTTACTATTTTCGGAATGCTAATAAGTGTTCGGACAATCGAAATAAAATCCATTTAACTGATTATTAGCATAGAGGTCAAGTTTTCATCACACTCGATATTCATTTAAATGATTGTCAACACGGAGTTGCATTATGAAATTATAAATAAACAAGCCAATTATGAAGTTGTAACTAAACCGGTATAAGTTAAGTATCATTCACAAGGTCATTATAAGTACGAAGGCAAATACAATATGCACGAAAGTATCCGGAAAATTAGAATGTAAGATTATCATTTTCTATTTTTTTCGAGATAATATCGAGTGAGAGATAAGCTATTTTCTTTTTCTCTAAGTGTCCGATAAAGTTGATCCGATTCTTGCAGAGGTTTCGACCAAATGGATTTGCTGCAACAAAGTCTCTAACATTGTCGAATTAGCCGAGTTGTTCGAGTATTTACGAAGGTCACCGTTCCTTCTTGTTTGAAGCAATAGGTGTGAAACGAGTTAATAATATAGTTTCGGACATTGCATACGGATATATTGTAAAAAAATTATTGAGAATATTACTTAACCAATTGTCTCTCGTTGGTATGCTTGTAAGTTTTTAAAAATATCGCACGGTGAATCTATAAAAAAGAACATTGTATAATTAGAATAACAAAGATATGAATGCATTATATGGTGAATATAGAATATTTTCATGAAAAAGAGTTATAACATTACTTGGATTGTGTATCGACTTGTATGGCGAATCATCCACCAACAATGTATTTGACTCATTGTATGGAAACCGATTCCACACTTTGGTCAATTTCTTGAAAAAATAGGGTTTACCCCCATCTTCAAGTTCAACAAAGTGGCAATTTGATTGGTCTTACATGAAAGAAATCATACAAACCAAAATTATACAATAGTAACAAAATATGGATTTATCAAACTCATTATGGATTTATACTTCACACAAAACGAACCGATCAATTTTGTCCCTAAATAACACATTTAGTATGGGCGTTGTATTATTTCTATAAAAAACAGCAATAAATTTGAATGATATGAAGTTTCGAAGCCTAAGTAACATTTTGCGGTTATACAAAATAGCAAAGAAGTAGAGTGATAAATTTTTTCAACACACTCGAGTAGCATTCTAAAAGTTAAAGGCTTACTTGTTTTGCGACGTCTAAATACCAACTATAAATTTGTCAAAAGAAAACTCCAGGAAATCATCAACATGAGGCCTCTCGAAGACTGAAAGGAAACACAAGAAAAAGAAACAAGTAAATAAAATCGATAAAGAGCTTAACAAACAACAAGGAATAATGTATAGGATAATGTTTTGTCTCTTAGTACCTGGTTTATCTTTTAGTTTCATGTCTCTATTCTTTTTGGTTGAGAAATCCCCAAGATTTAATAAAAATCCATTGAGATCAAGTATTAAAAGCTTTTTTACATCCTTCTAAGTGTCTTGATGAAGAGGATCCGGATTTTCATGCACGGTCTCTTGATCCTAAGTTGTTTGTTGATCTCGAGGCTACGAAGCCTCATGCTCCGAAATTCCATGCTGCTCGAGAATGTTGTTGGTGATGCGAGAGAAGGATTGGTTTGAATCTCTTTCATTACATTGGCTAGCATTGTTTTGATGCTGCCGATAACATCTTTATTTTTCTCGCAATCCATATGTAACAAATTGTTTCAAAGCACTCAATTCCTCCCTAATGTCTCCAATCTGTTTCTCCATTTCATGTACTTGAGAGGCTTCTATGCCAATACCAAGCAGTGTGAGTACTTGAGGTTATAGCAAATTGTTAGGAAGTAGAAGCAACAGACTTTTGATTGTTTTGGTTGTCACTCTCGAGGTGTCTTGGCTAACTTCGTGAACAATATAGTGGTCTTGTTCACCACATCCTAACCCACACAATCTAAAACCTCCAAGTCTAAACCACTCGTTTTTGAAAAACCTAGTAAGAATCATATCATACGCCAATCTAATTTTTTTCTTTTCATAATTTATAGACCTCATACTTTCACTCCTCTTGTGTATACAATCTACTATCAAAGCGAGCAAAGTTCATAGGTTGTTTATTCATAATATACCACATTACAGACCTTTTCATGATTTGACACATACTCTTTTCCACCTAACTTAAGCATGATAATTTCGTAATGGCATAATGAATAAACCTAATCTCGGGTTTAAAACTAGTCTTTGTCAAATACTTGTCATTCAACACTCCTTCAGACATCCTCATGCAAATATTATTTTCTAAATTTGTTCTCATTATAACCTGGCATATTAGAAAGTTGTTTCCTTTTATTTGGGGTTTTCTTATCGAAATCAACAATGTACCCCTCCATTGGTAAATTGAAATACTCATGCATTTTTGCTTAAGTAATAACCACTCTAACACCTTTTATTTCTCCCATTAGAATAGTTTTCCATTCAATCTTTTTAGATTTCAAACTAGCATAGAAATACCTAACATAATTAGGGTATATATTTTCCGAAAACGTCAATAGGTCCAAGTAAGCTCGATTTATTAAAATAATCTACCACATTAAATCCACTCTCTAACAGATTATCAAAATCAATGCCCTTACCTATAATGATCCTCTCTAAGCTTATCACTTTATTGTAATACGTTTCCCTCCGAGGTTCCGAAAGGAATGATTTATCTTGCTTGAGTTTGAACAACCGAGTCATGGTTGTATTGAGGTTCCCGATTGTTTCCAACCTTTGCCTTCTTGGAAGGACGATGAGGTTTACTCGCCTTTTCGTTTATCTCTAATGGATAATATAGGGTTTTACAAGTGAAAAGGAAAACTAATTGAAAAGGATGGATGTGTTTGTTATGAAAAAAACGTGATTGATAAAATCATTTTTGGTAGAGATAACTCGGACAAAGTTTTTTATTTTTGTAATTATGCGTAACTAATTAAAGTGCTGAAAAATGTTGATCGGTGTTCCAACAAGGCTTGATTTATTTGGAGTCAAACTAGTCCTTTGAACTTCTAACTGGACACCATATTAAAATACAATACATCCCTTGTCTAGTAAGTTCAATTCAGAATTTTAAGGATAAAAACATAAATGCATAACTTTCTCGTTGCATTCCCATGAGATAACTATAATGATTAGTTTATGGTGCGGCGTGTAATGAATTATATTTAATTTTGAAAAATGTAAACTCGGTTTGTTTTCATGCTTTTTCGGTATCGTTGAAAAAGGTTTGTTCGATATTCTAAAAAGTCTTGCACCATATTAAATTACAAAAGCATCCCTTGACAACTAAGTTGAAATTACCATTTTTTAGGATAAAAACATAATTTGAAGGCTTTTCCATTGCATTCCTAAGAGATAACTGTAATGATTTGTTAGTGGTGGGCCCTTTAAGAAATTATATTTAATTCTGAAAATGGCTACTCGATTTGCTTTTGTGCCCTTTTCAATATGCTGAAAAAGTTTCTTCATGGCTTTAAAAAGTCTATGTTTAATTGATTTGATTATCGACAAGTTTTAATTCACTGAACTACGTTGACATTTCAATCTTAGTATACCTATAAAATATAAATAGTTGACATTAAGATAAATCAAAGTAGAAATGGTAACAAAATGTTGATTTCATTTATTTTTTGATGATCGACCATTTATTAAGAAGGAAATAAAATGATATTTTGTGAAATAAATATTAATCTTAGCACAACAATTAATTAATTATTTTCTTTCTTTTTTTAATTCATTAAAATATGATAATAAAATATGAAAGTTACAATATCGTCCATATCTTGATATTTTATATATGTGAATTCCATTTATTTGTCTACATTGACCATTTGACTTATTTTTTACCATTAATTTAGTCTATATCTTGATATCATGGAGATGAATTTAGTCCATATCTTAGTATGTGATCGTTGATCTGTCTTAGTACGTGATCGTTGACTTATTTGACCATTACTTTGATATCATGGAGATGAATTTAGTCGATATTTTAGTATGTGATCGTTGATATCTTATTACGTGATCATTGACTAATTTAACCATTACTATGATATCATGGAGATGAATTTAGTCGATATCTTAGTATGTGATCGTTGATATCTTAGTACGTGATCATTGACTAATTTGACCATTACTATGATATCATGGAGATGAATTTAGTCGATATCTTAGTGTGTGATCGTTGATATCTTATTACACGATCGTTGACATATTTGACCATTACTATGATATCATCGAGATGAATTTAGTCGATATCTTAGTATGTGATCGTTGATATCTTATTACATGATCGTTGACATATTTGACCATTACTATGATACCATCGAGATGAATTTAGTCGATATCTTAGTATGTGATCATTGATATCTTATTACGTGATCGTTGACATATCTTGCCATTATTACGATATCATGGAGATGAATTTAGTCGATATCTTAGTATGTGATCGTTGATATCTTATTACACGATCGTTGATATATTTGACCATTACTATGATATCATCGAGGTGAATTTAGTCTATATATTAGTATTTGACCATTAAATGAATTTAGTTGACTACTACTACATGATCATTTTATTGACCATTGACTAAGTTGACCAGATACTATGATATAGGTTAGATTTAAAAAACACGACGTCGTTTTATTAAAAAAATTTCACCGAAACTCACAACACTTGGTTTTTAGCACGTAAATTGATATTTTAGCATACTAAAATTTTCAAATGTTATATTATTGGAAACACACCTAGTCGTTTCACTTATCATTAACCATCAAAAATTTCAAACAATTGGATTGGAGGGAAGAAAGAAAGGGACGCTTCAAATTTAAACAAATTTACAAAAGGGAAGGAATAAAGACTCTTTATATTCACCTTGAAAACAAGCTATTTTAGTTACGCATGCTTCAATTGTCTCGGTACTCTAAAAATGAAATTAATGCGAGTTAATCTTCTAAGAGGTTCTAGTTGTACAGTTCTTGGCTCTGTTTAAACTATTATAAACTCGTAAAATTACCACACTTAACCTAAATTGATTAGTCGAAGAAGCAAGATAAATGGCGGACAAACGTTCAATCATCCCAAGCCCTTACAAAACTCCCGGTTACATATATTCTTATTCAATTTTTAATTTTCTTCTCATAATATTTTTCAGCAAGCTAATTTGTTTTTTTTTTTTTTGTTATTCATTTCATGTTAACGGATAAGCAACCCATAAGAGCTGATGAGCCCTTATCCCTTCTAACATTTTAGATGTTGTTCTTTGAAAGCAGGAACAATCATAACAAATGGAAAGCCGAGGTGAAGGAGTTCCTGCGACTTCGTCTACTTCGGTGAACACGGAATCAATGGTTGTTGCAATGTTTGACATGCCCCCTCGATGCGTATGTACAATATATGGCTCAACGAAGAAGGAGCCCCGAGTCTTCTTCATTCTCTAGGCTACTGAAGGACTTGCGGGGAAGAAGATAGCAACATGAATGTGAAGAAACCACGAGGAAGGCCAAGGAAGATTGTTGTTGTCACCGTTAGTGACAATTCTGAAAAATTATTTCAATTTATGTTTTGTTATATTTTGATTATGATGTTTTTAATTTCTACTTTTGTTATGTTATGGACTTTTATTTATGTTTTTATTATGATGGTTATCAATTATGACGTTTTGTTATCTCTATGATTTTATGGATGGTTTCGGTTATCATATATGTGATTTAATGGATGTTTTCGATTACCAACTATTCTGATATCTATGATTTAATAGACGTTTTTGGTTAAGTTTTGTGATATATGTGATCTAATGACAATTGATACACTCGTCATTTGATAATGGTGACACTAAAAGTGAACGTTTTCGATTAACGTTTCTTTAAGAATCCAACAAAACAAATTGATGTATACTAACAAACTGTCATTTGATAATGTAATTGAATCATTGTCATTTGATAATGTAATTCAAAACAAAGGATACCAACTTTTCAACACACTTATTAGCATTTTGAAAACAAAAGGATGGATTTTTCTAACTTGAAAACAAAGCATTTTGAATTTTCAACACACTAATTAATGTTACGTTAACACCACTTTGGTTTTCTATAACTTGAAAATGAAAGATTTGGAGTTTTTAGCATACGAACTAGCATTCGAAAATAATGTTGGTACTGATCGAAAGACTTAATGTTTCTTTAAGAATCTAACAAAACAAATTGATGTATACTAATAAACTTTCATTTGATAATGCAATTGAAAAAGAAGGATACCAACTTATCAAGACACTTATTAGCATTCGAATACAAAAGGATGGATTTTTCTAACTTGAAAATGAAGCATTTTGAATTTTCAGCACACTAATTAGCGTTCGAAAATGCCACTTTGGTTTATCGTAAGTTGAAAAACGAAGGACTTGGATTTTTTTAGCATACTAACTAGCATTCTAAAAACAAAAATGCTTGGTAATAGCTAAAAGACTTAACGTTTCTTTAAGAATCCAACAAAACAAATTGATGTATACTAATAAACTGTCATTTGATAATGCAATTGAATCACTCGTCATTTGATAATGTAATTGAAAACGAAGGATACCAACTTATCAACACACTTATTAGCATTCGAAAATAAAAACATTGATTTTTCTAACTTGAAAATGAAGCATTTTGAGTTTTCAAGCACATTAATTAGCGTTCTAAAAACATTACTTTGGTTTACTATAACTTGAAAAATGAAGGACTTGGAATTTTTAGCATACTAACTTGCATTCCGAAAACAATGTTGGTAATGACTCGAAAGACTTAACTTTTCTTTAAGAATCCAACAAAATAAATTGATGTATACTAACAAAATGTCATTTAATAATGCAACTCGAATTACTATCATTTGATAATGTAGTCAAAAACGAAGGATACCAACTTTTCAACACACTTATTAGCATTTCGAAAAAAGTACTTTAGACTTTTCTAAATTAAAAACGAAGGATTTTGACTTTTCAAGCACACTAACTAGCATTCGAAAAAACCGTTTTGTTTTTCCGTAACTTGAAAAATGAAGGATTTGAACTTTTTAGCACACTAACTAGTATTCGAAAACACCATAAACATTTTTAGTTACAAGTACACTCATACATTGTCAATTTTGACATACCGAAATCCAAATTTACAAAAGTTGAATAAAGTTTACGAGTTAGTCGTGTTCCAAAACACTCGGTGTTTTCTCGCTAAAGTTGCAACAACATTAGCGATCGAAGGTCCCGCAACGACATTTTCGGGCTTTTTCTTTTTTTTTCCTTGTTTTAGTGGGTTCATACTCCCGTCTAGAAACCAGCCTCTTTCCCTTTGGCCTACCTTTGCAGGTTACCACGAACTGGATCCTTAAGCATAACACATTCTTGTGTACTAACTACTTCGGTAGCCACAACATCGGTTTCATTGTTATTACATGCCATCTCAACACCGGTATTGTCGGTGGTCATTTCTTTCAGTTTGGACAAAGAGTCATTCGGTGATTCTTTCATAAATGACATCAATGTCCCATCGAAATGGCAAGATCAACTCGCTTCATAGAACGTTTTTTCTAACTCCCTAATCGAAGACGGATGTTGTGTCACGCCATCGCATCGACCAAACCAATGGTGATCTTGTTATGATGTTTGGCTACGTCTTTCCTTCAACGTCTCAATAGATACTTGTCTACAACTAATTATGCATTGTTATTCACTAACAACCTAATTGCATATCTACACATAATTCCTTTGAAATCAAACGGCCTACGATTACAAGATACATCATTATTGAAAGGGTTATATGCTATCTCATACTTTAACAGACTTTATAGTGCCTTCTTTCATAAAAACCCTCTTTGAAACTTTATAGATGATATCATAACCTTTTCTTTTCAAGTACACTACATCACAATAGTTCATATCACGCAGTCTCAACTTGTACTTTATGAAACATCGAATTGGTGTAAACACTCCAAAATTGAAGCTCCAATGGGAATTTGGTCCATAAAGTAATTTTAATGCTCATGGTATCAAAATTAACATGCTTTTCTTTCTAGAACTTATCTTGTAAAGCAATTTCGTATTGCTATATGAATTGTTTCGAGTGTGGTTTGAGAATGTACGTAACCATCAAAATAAGCATTCATACTCTCATTCTATTGAGTAGACGACATGCCTATCCGGAAAACATCTTTCACAAAACCGAAACCCATTACCGTCTCCCTTCTTACAATTCAACTAGCCATTTGCTCCCTTCTAAGTTAAAATCTTTAACCATTTTATCCCATCCCCTTTTAAATTCCTCGGTTGTCAAGCTTTCATACACAACACCCATGAAAGCTTCTTGTAAGTCATGTTTCTTTTTGTGATACTTGAATTTCTTCGAAAACTTTGTTAGAATATACCATAAACACCATCCGTGTCGAGTGTTTGGGATAGACTATGCAATAGCTTTATCGATGCTCTTGCATTGATCGATGATGATGGCTTTTGGTACAACATCGCCCATGCAACGTAACCAATCTATAAACAACCAATCAAAAGCCTTCACTTCCTCATCATATAATAAAGTATAACCAAGAAGTATCGATTATAAGTGATGATTGACACGGATAAATGGTGTAAATGGCATGTTATATCGATTAACCAAGTAAGTCATATTGAACGTAACAACGTCCCTAAATTCTCGATAAGCTGTACTCGGCTTCGAGCATCTACCCATAGAATGTTCGTTAACCTACCTTCATCATCATTTTCAACTTTGTAGAAGAAATCTCCGTCGCACTCTTTCATTTTCAAGAATATCTTTAAAAAAGCTATATCATCACCTTCATCTCCGAGCCTTCTCCTCATTGATCGATCAATAAAATTCCTACAATCTTTAGTTAGACAAGGCATTTCCTCTCGCGCCTCCAGTTTGCACCATAACAAACCCGATATTCTTGCTTTGTTGAACACTTGCCATGTCATTTATCTCTAACCTTCTCTTTATGTGTGGAGGGATAGACTCGTGTTGCCTAATAAACCTTATCATCCCTGGATCCATTTCGTGGTTGTGATCTTTGATGACAAGATTTATCTTCCACTTCCCATCTTTGCCCAGATGATGCTGTCGGTTCGTTGGACAACCAATTCCCTTCGTAGTCTTCACATGGGGATGAATCCTTTCGCAATAACATGAGATGGTTTGGAATTTATGAACACCATCAATCTTTTATGAACGAGACTTCACAACAATAAATCTCATTGATCTTGCATACTTCTAGTGGGAAAGGAATATATCTTCAACATCATCGAATTCCATCCCGAGTCTCGTGTGCTTTAAAAGTTTCGGAATTCCTAAACTCTTCATCCCCATGAATACAACTTGTATTTTCTTCATCATTGCAAAAGTCTTCTTCCTCTTCGCGACTTGATATTTCCACGTTTGAGTTTTTGATTTCTAGATTCAAATCATTGTAGTCATCATCCCCAAAAATGGAATGTATGAGTTCTTGTCTATCCATCGTTGTCAAATCGGCGTGTTAAAAACTCAATATAGTGTGCTAAAAAACTCAATATAGAGTGCTAAAAATGATATATTTCGTAGCTAACTTGTTATGTGACCGAAAATATTCTTTAACGGTTATTTTTTAGCATTAAATATTATTTGTTAAGTAATTGTCTTTCTAAATTCCTCTCCATCGTTGCCATAATTGGGAATCCAAACCCGAAACGATAAACAAGAAGGATTGATATGAAAATCCATCGGTGTAAATCTAGTGTGCTTGAAAGAGTGTGCTAAAAACGATATACCTCTTAGTTCAACTGATATGTCTTAGCATGCTTCAACTCGGTATGTCTTACCATGAAAGTATTGTTTGTAATTCATTGCTCAATTAAGAATTCAAACCTTACACGATAAAAATATGAAGGATTTATCTTAAATTTATTGCTTTAAATATTGTTGGTTATCCATCAGTATAAATATAATGTGTTGAAAGAGTGTGCTAAAAACGATATACTTCTTAGTTCAACCGATATGTCTTAGCATATCTAAGACCGTTATGTCTTACCATGAAAGTATTGTTTGTAATTCATTCGTCAATTGGGAATTCAAACCTTACACGATAAAAATATGAAAGATTTATCTTAAATTTATTGCTTTAAATATTGTTGGTTATCCATCGGTGTAAATATAATGTACCGAAAGAGTGTGCTAAAATCGATATATTTCTTAGTTCAACTAATATATCTTAGCATAACTAAGACTATTATGTCTTACCATGAATAAATTCAGCGTGTCTGAAACAATGTGCTAAAATTGATATATTTTATAGCCGACTTGTTATGTGTTAGAGTATTCTTCAACGAGTTAGTTCTTAACATTAATTATTGTTTGTAAGTAATCGTCTTTCTAAATTCCTCTTCATCATTAGCATAATTGGGAATCCAAACCTTACACGATAAACTAGGACTCGTTTGAAATATATTGCTTTATATATTGTTTTTCCTCAAAAAATAAAGTGCCCAACTTTTTTCTCTTCCTTGTATGCCTCCAAAAAAACTACAATTATAAAATTATGGTGATTTTTTCTTTTTATATCACTCGGTGTCATATAGCACTACTCTTAAAAAATGAAAATGTTTGATAACGTCATGTGACATACATCATTTCTAAAAATAAAAAATTTTTAAGGGTAAACTTGAAAAGTGAAAATGTTAATTGACATAATACCCACTGAAATAAAGTATCTAACTTTTTTTCTTTCTTTGTATTCCTAAAAAACACTACCTTTATAAAATTATGATAATTTTTTTTTAACACCACTAGTGTCATGTAGCACTACTTAAAAAAAAAAAAAAAAAAACGGAGGATTGTCTTTTATTGGAAATTTCCATATTAAATGATTCTCACCACCAATACAAACCAATTTCTTTCATAGAAAACTAGAAACGATGCTTCTTTTAATGTATAATAAATGTCCTCCAAGCAATTTAATCTAGAAGTTTATTTTGCTGCATGAAATTATTGATTTATTCTGTTCCTGAGAAAAGTTAAACACAGAAAGGGCAGCATAGTTCACATTGGAGGTCCCAATGATCATCGATCTATTGTTCATTCGACGTCTATCATCATCACGTTCTTTCCTCTGACCCTTTTCTTTTGTTACAAATATAATTTTCCAATCACCAAAAATAGAGTAAATTATTCTTTAGTCCTTCATGTTTGAAAATATATAACTTAATCCCTTCACACTTGTTTGGAAAAACACGTGCTGGATTTTTTCTTAATTCCAAATGTATTATTTGACAATTTGAATTCTTATAGAAAACCAACATAATGAGAGAATTGAGAAAAACCAATCTATGCTTTAGAAGGGCAACCGTAGGTTTTCAAACATGAAGGACTAAGGTATTACTGCATTAAAAACCCAGAAACTAAAGAATAATTCACTTTACAAATATAGATAGATCGTACTGGCACCAATAACTAATACAACAAAGCTTCATGGTTCATGCTCTTCATATATATATATATATATATATATATATAAAGAATAAGAGAGTTCTTGGTTCAGGGATGCCATTTGCTGTAAACTAATTAATTAAAGTAGTGGCAATTGCAGAGAATTTGGTAAACCTGGGAGATAAGTTGGACCAGTAAGCTAAACTTAATTTCGATGCCAATGCGGTGTCAGTGTCCAATAAATGTGGACTGTGCAAGAATTTAATGCTGTGGTAGCTTCGAGACAATATTTTATAGACAGGCTACAAATTGCTAGATGAGTCATTTTTTCTTAAATTTTAATTTATTTAAAATTGAATTCTTACGCTTTAAATTAAATTTTTACTATTCTTGAATTTTTATTTTTTTAAGATTTAATTATTTTTTAGTTTTTTATTAATTATTCATAAAATAACAATCATATGAATATCTCTATGAAGAAATTCATTCAATGAGATATATATAGTAGTCCTAAAAAAAATTTAAAATCATTTAAAATTATCTTTTATTTTTTTAATTTTTTAACTTCTTAATTTTTTAAAAATAAACAAATATGGTTTTTTAAAGTTTTGAGTTTTCTTATAAAATAAATTGAATTTTTCCGAAGTTATATGCAAAACATCATATCAAAATATCAAGAATTATTTTATTTTTATTTTTTAAAGAGACGGTGATAGATGAAACTATTAGATGAATTGAATTTCAAAAAATTAAAAATTTAGACATTTCAAAAAATAAAATTTGAATTTATTAACCCATTTTGTAGCTAAAAATTGCATGGACTGCCTTGTTGAATCTGGATTGAAGTTTGACAAGTACTGTTTTTTGTTATAAAAAAGTTTTATTAAAATTTTAAGTGATATATTTTATAAGGATAATTGCTCTAATATTACTCTAATATTACTTCTCAGGTTTGTCAACTGTCACTTCCAACTTTTGGGTTCTTCGGTCTAAAGGAACTTCCACGTTGAGTTTTATTAGGCTTTACTGAAAAGAGGCATATGCTAACACATGCAAACGTGAAATATCCCGGACAAGGTTCGAATTATGAGAGCAATTGTTAACTTTCATGATTGAGTGAATACGAGGAACGAGAAAGAAGAAAATTTGATAAAGTTGATTGTACTTGTGACAGACTACTAACCATATAATTAGTTTAACAAATTGATTAACTCTTAAGTATAAAAATAAAAGCTATGCACATGGCTATATACATGGACATGGATTTATTTAATACTCTCATGCTCCTCCTCAATACGAGTATGAATATTGTTCATACTCTTCTTGCTCACCAATTCATGAAAAATTCTAGGCTACGAAGCTTGAGTAAAGATGTCTATAACCTCGCTGATTAGTAAATATATATTAAGGTTGTATAAGTTCGTAAATGATATTTTCATGAATGAAATAATTGTCAATTTCAATGTGTTTACTCCTCTCGTAAGATATTGGATTCTTGTAAAAATACAAGATAGATCGATTATCACAAAAGAACATAATCGATACTCGTGTGTTTAAAGCTCATATCCTACAATAAGAATAAAATCCACAAATTTCACAAGTCACGGATGTCATAGCTCAATATACTATCTCTCTCGCTTTTTAGATTTCCAACTAACCAAAAAATTCCTCAAGAATATGCAGAACCCCGAAACCGATTTCCCGGTCTCAAGAACAGCTAGCCTAGTCACTATTTGAAAATGATCTTAATTGAATAGATGACTTAGTTGAAAAGAATAAACCTTGTCCTAGAGCACCCTTCAAATACCTAAGCACTCTATGCATAGCTTGTAGATGAACCAAAACCGATTTATCCATGAATTGAGCAAAAGCATGCACCACAATGCGGATGTCAAGGTTGCTAAGGGTTAAGTATAGAAGTTTGCCTACAAACTATCCGTATTCAATATGATCGATGAGAGTATCCTTTAAAACAAGCATCAATCTTTATTTATGATGCATCAAAGTGGATGCGAGCTTAGATTCGGAGAAACCATATTCTTTTAACAACTCTAAGAGATACTTTCTTTGACATATAACAATTCTTTTCACTAATCTTACCACTTCAATTTGTAAAAAATATTTAAGTGGACTAAGATCCTTAAACGTAAACTTTATGCTACAAAAATACTTAAGATGAACCATGTCGGAATCAAAATTGCTAGCAATTACAATGTCATCCACTTAAACCGAGTAAAGTAAGAAAATTTTGTGAATTAGTAAACATTATAAACAAAGAATGATCTACCTTGGATCGATGAAATCCATACTTAACCAAAGTAGTCTGTAAATTTGGCATTCCATTATCCGTAAGCTTGCTTTAATCCATATGAAGATTTATTCAGTTTATAGACTAATTTTTATGAACATGAACCAGCCATATAATCCCCACGAAGGTTGTGGCCAAAAGGAAAATCTATAAAAAAAAGCCTCTTCTAAATCACCATATAGAAATGCATTATTAATATCTAATTGAGAAAGA